AAAGAAGTAATCGAAAGTCAGGAAACCGCACCGGGCCCCGTCTCATGAACGTTAACTAACGTTGGGATGCATTTCTAGAAGAGAAGTCAAGCCCTTGGCCTGTGAGTTTTAATTTAATTTCTGCCTCTTGGCCTTCTCCTCGAGGGAGAAAAGCAGAATAAAATATCCTAAAATGCAGTCCCAGCCTCGGTGTGTGACAGAGAATCACAGCACCCACAGGGTAATCACTTAAAGCAAAGTTCCCTCCGGGCGCCCAAGCCCAGAGAGTCACACCCAAGCTCTGGTCTCCTTATTCTAGCCACGACCCAAATGCCATCTCATTTACTCTACTCATTGGCTAGGGCTGCCGTCACAAAGGACCACACGCTGGCCAGCTCAAACCATAAAATTGTGTTGTCTCGCAGTCTTGGAGTGACTGAGATTAAGGGAACAGCGGGGCTCGTTTAGGGTGAGGCCTCTCCCCTGGGCTGAGACGGGCACCTCCGTGTGTCTTCCCCAAGTCTTCCCTCTGCCTATATCTGCGTCCTCCTTTTCTCTTCTTACAAGGACACCAGTCATGTTAGATTAGGGCCAAGCTTAATGATCTTGTTTAAGCTCAGTTACGTTTTTAACTACCCATCTCCAAATACCGCCACATTCTCAGGTACTAAAAGTTAGGTCTTCAACGTAGGAATTGGGAGACATGATTCAGCCTGTAACATTCACTTAACTCCAGTTTTTCACCTTCACGTGACTCAACTCTTCTGCTTCCCAGTCATTTCGCACCGCTGGCCCTGCTTGCAGCCATGTCCTGCATGCTTTCCCACAGGCCTGTTCAGTGATAAAGGGGACAGAGCTACCCATTTCCCATCTCTGAGTCACATGTGGGTCCGTCCCCAGAGTGCCAGGTGACGCCGCGAGTTCTTAACTCAATAATGACTCAGAAAATCTGGGAGTGATGTCTTCTGTTGGAACCACAACCTCTGAAGCTGTTGAGCAGTCTTAAAATTCCAGTCAGTGCAGACTGCTTCACCACGGAGCCCGAAGGATCTTCTGTGGTCCTTTTGCTCCTTCTCTGATATTCCCAGGCCCTCACACACACAAAACCCCCATGAGTCATTCAGAATTGATCTACACTCCTCAGGTGATTTCCCTGCCGCCGCTGGCCAGTAACGAGGTCCTTTTCTCCATGGACAATGTCAGTGACTGGGGCCTCATGGGGAGCCAGGGTTTTCACCACCACCCGGGGGTAACCAGGCCACCCCCTGGCACTATCAGATTTTACACCCATGGGACAGTCATGAAACAGCAACCCCTTCTTCCCTTGAAGGAGCAGTGTCAGAGAAAGCCAGCAGAAAATTTATTGGGAACATAATAGACCCACGTATATATAGGCAACTGATCTTTGACAAAGGAGCAAAGGCGATACAGTGGAGGAAAGATGGTCTTTTCGACAAATGGGGCTGGGACAACTGGCCATTCACATGCAAATATAGTAATCAGTCTAGACACAGACCTTACATACCGCACAAAAATCAGCTTAGAATGAATCACAGACCTAAACGTAACATAAAAGAAGACCTATGTGACCACTGGTATGGCAACGATTTTTTAGATACAATGCCAAAGCTGCCATCAGTTGGAGAGGCAATTGATAAGCTGGACATCGTTAAAATTAAAACTTTCCTTCCGTTCTGTGAAAGACAATGTCAAGAGAATGAAAAGATAAGCCACAGACTAGGAGGAAATAGTGGCAAAAGACACATCAGGTAAAGGACTGTTATCCAAAGTATACAAAGAATTCTTAAAGTTCAACAATAAAAAAAACAGCCTGACTTAAAAATGAACCAGAGACCTTATCACATACATCACCAAGGAAGATGTACAGATGCCAAATGAACATATGAAGACGCTCCATGCCATACGTCATCAGAGAAATGCTCATTAAAACAACAAGCTATCACTACACACCTGTTAGGATGACCCACACCTGGAATACTGACACCACAAACCAAGTGCCAGCCTGAACGTGATGCTAGAAGGGATACAAGTTGGTACAGCCACTTCAGAAAACAGGCTGATTGTTTTTCACGAAACTCAACTTACTCTTACCCTATCATCAAATAATTTTACTCCTTGGTATCTGTTCAAGGGAGTGAAAAACAGTCCACACAAAAACCTGCACACGCATGTTTATAGCAGCTTTATTCATAACTGCCAAACTTGGAAGCAACTAAGATGTCCTTCCTCTTAGTCAGCTTAGGCTTAGTCACCACGCAGTGGGTGGTGTATAAGCAACTCAAGTTTATTTCTCACAGTTCTGGAGGCTGGCGGTCTGCAAGCGGGGTGCCGGCATGGTTGGGGTCCGGTGGGGACCCTCTTCCAGGCTGCAGACTGATGAGTTCACGTGGAGGAAGAGGGCCGAGGAGTTCTCTGGCCTGTTCTTACATTTCCTTCCCCCCTCAGCTTTATTGGGTTATAACGGACAAATTGAAAATTGCAAATATTCAAGATGTACAACATGATCTTTAAAGATACTTATACATCATGATATGATTGCCACAAGCAAGCTAACTAATGTGTTCATTGTCTCACATACTGTCTTAGCAAATTTGAATGAAACAATGCAGTTATTAACTGTAGTCACCAGCAGGCTGAGCACTAGAGCTCCAGGATTTGTTCACCCTGTGTACCAAAACTTTGGATCCTTTGACCTCTATTCCTGCCCCCAACCCCCAGTCCCTGGCAACCACTATTCTATTCTCTCACGAATTTGACCTATTTAGATCTCACATTGTAAGGGCAGTCGTGGGGCATTTGTCTTTCTGTGCCTGGCTTATTTCACTTAGCATGATGTCATTCAGTTCTTCCATGTTGTCACAGACAGCAGAAGTTCCTTCTTTTTTAGGGCTGAATAATATTTCTCTCTAGATGTCACATCTTCTTGTCTGTCAGGGGACACTGAGTTTGTTTCCATGTCTTGGCTGTTGTGAATGGTGCCACAGTGAGCATGACAGTGTAGATGTCTCTTGGAGGCACTGGTTTTATTTTGGGGGGGGTGTGCCCAGAAAAGGAATTGGTGGATCATATGGTAGTTCTGTTTTTATTTTCTCCAGAAATCTCCATACTGTCTTTCTTACTGGCTATACCAGTTTACATTCCCACCAATAGTGTACAGGGCTTCCCCTTTCTTCACATCCTTATAAGCCCTTTATAATAATAGCAATTCTAAAAGCTGTGTGGTGACAGTTTTACTGTGGTTCTGATTTGCGTTTCCCTGACGACTAGTGATGCTAAGCACTTTTTCATATGCTCATTGGCCATTTGTATGTCTTCTTTAAAAAATAAAGTCTATTCACATCCTTTGGACTTCTTTGATCAGATTTTTCATTTTTTTGCTATTGAGTTGTATGAGTTTCTTATATATTTTGGATATTAACCCCTTACTAGATATATGGTTTGCATTTTTTTCTCTCATTGTTCCTTCTTGTCTCTAAAACTGTGAGTCTGCAGACAGACCTCCTTGGAAAGTCAATAAATGTTCATTGTCCATTATTACCACTTGATGATGATGACAAACACCATTGTTTGCCTATTTCAAGGATCTAAGAATAACATTGGGAAGAAATACTGTCCAGATAGATAGATAGAGAGTCTTATATTTAGCAAGCGATCTTGAGAACAGTCGTCCTCTTAATAAAACCTGGATTATGCTATTCATTAAATAAAATATATTCATAATGCTGACACCGTGTCTGTGTGGTTCTGAGGGTTTAGCAAATGTACTTGGGCAGTGCAGAGAGCCTGCTCATTTTCCGAAAGGGAAATATTGCAAAGGTTAATGACTTGCCTCAGGAACACTTGGGCCCCTTCCACTGTAATTAAGAACTAAAGTTTTCATTAGTGACTTCAAAAGAAATTGCACAAGTTTATTTTTGTAAAAGACATGAAGGTATATTGTAACATTTTCATTGCTTACGAAGTCCTCATATATCCTGTTTACAAAGATTTTATGTTATATACACACACATTCAAATTCTGGGTGTGGAGAACTCTAGTGGGCAGTGTATGTGGACGGTAGAAAAAGGCAGGGTGTCCCGCATTTCTCCTGGGCGTGATCCAGGATTGAAGGGAAAAGGTCCTGGACTGGCTCAGAGTGCAAATAGGTGGAAACAAAATCCGAGATGTGTTTCAGCACTGCGGTCTGTGGGAGAATTCAGTGAGAACTCAGGGTTTCCAGGCCAGTGGCACCATGCATCAGCTGAAGGATGAAACATAAGTAGAAATGGGAGTGAAAGAAAGAGGAGTGATGTGCCTGGGACGTTCGTTTCTGTTAAGTTTGGGTGTCTTGTTTCTATGTAAAATGACAACAATATGCGAGAAAATAGTTGTGCAAACATTGTGTGGTCAGAACGATGATACAAAACTACACAGATTTCAGTGAGGGTGTTGTCAACTCAGTGGATGAAGGTGACGGTCAGGAAAAGTATGACTGTGTCATTGAACCTTGAGTGTCCTGAAAAGAGTGGAAAGACCTTTCAGCCAAAGGGAAAAGTTCTGTAAAGACAGAGAGGCCTGCAACACACAGCAGTGTTCACAACTGACAACCAATTTGCTTGGCTTAGGAATAGAGATGGGGATGGGATGTGGACGACCGGAAATGAGGCCAGGACCATAAGGTATCGGTCAGGCCATGCTAAGCACTGTGCTTGAAACGAAGTCTGTACTCAGTAAATATTCGGCGAACAAGTGAATGAATCATTTTATCCACTGCTGGTAGATGAAATCTTCATGTTTAAATATTGCATATTTAATAATTTACTAGTTGGCATGTTGGCTCATTGAAGAAAAGTAATGTGCTCATACTCTTTATCTCTGTTCCATGTATGGCTGATCTTTAATCTGTTACTATCATCGTTAGAAATCTGCTTACTAATGAGCACCAAAAGTCGACAGTTCTGAAAGTTAATATATAGACAAATGTTCACATATATTTGTGTTTTTCTTTTTTCTTTTTCTAGGGTCAGACATTGTTCAATGGTTAATAAAGAACTTAACTATAGAAGACCCAGGTAAATAAATAATTTTCCCATTGATAGAATTATTTTTTGTGTGATTTTAAGAAATGTGTTTCTCGGGGCCAATATGAACCTGAAAATTTATAATTACACTTAACTATGCTTGTAGCATTTATACAGATGTTATGGCAGTCAACATATAGTTCTCTAAAATTTATTTCATGTATGTTTACTAAGAATTTTCATATGTTTAATATTCCATTTTATAAAATTTGATTCAGGCTCTTGGCGATTGTTAGGATGGATGAACTGTATATACATGGTCATAAATAACTGAACAAATAATTTTTAGTGTGTGATCATGAAGTAATAAAATTTCCCTTCATAAAACCTATAAATCTCATTCATTTATAATTTTGCCTTATCTCCATTTTTGCGTGAGGTTTGCCAACAATGTTATTTCCCATCATGCCCACGTGATTGACTTAATGCTGTTATTTACGTCACAGACCCATCCCTGCAGTGGGCAGTCTGTCTATTCTGCAGCTCGGACTCACTCCCAGAGTCTGGGAACAGGGTTGTGTTGCCGAGAACAAATCTCTGCAAGTGTGAGGTCTGCTTAATGACTTTTTAAAAATACCTTGTAAGAGCCTTCACATGTGGCAAACAACTCACATACTAACATGAAGGTAAGATGTGTTTGTTTAGAGAAGATGCTGTGGAAAGAAATCAAATGGGGTTATAAAGACGGAGAATGACCTGGCAGAGAGAGAGAGCAAACCTCTAACTGCACAACCCCCTCCCTTTGATAGAAAAGAATTCTGTATGGCCCTGCTCCCACCTCCGATTACCAGTACAGGGGGATGCAAAGTTATTGTTTTTCCTCGTTTTGAGCTAATCTTATAAAAGCCATGCTATCATAAAATGTAGCTCTAAATCTAAATGCCTGTATACACCCCTTGTTCCTTTGGCACATGAGCTTTTAAAACAAGTATCCAAGCAGGTTAAACAGGATAAAAACAATTCAGTCAAGATGAAGCAGCTATTGTCAGCATCATATTATTATGAAGTGAGAAGTGGGGATGGGTCTTGGGAAAGGAAGCCACCGTCTTACCAAGTTTACGTGATAGCCTTAATTTAGGGGTGTGTCTGGCTTTATAAACTGTAGCATCAGATGAACGACACCCCACCCCACTCCCCAAAAAACAGTTTGGCACAATCACTGGTAATGAGGAAACTACTAATTTGCTAAGACTATTATTGCTCAAATGATGAAGTTGATTCAAAAGAATACGTTTGGTAAGTTAAGACTAAAAGTGTGTTTCAGTGACAGCATGAGAAGCAGGGAAAATATACAGATATAAATAATATGCTAGTAAGACACAATTATTGCTTCTAATTCATACATGAGATATTATTATAGCTGCAATGTACGTGAAAACTGGTTTTATTTGCTTGTTGAACAGTTCAAAGATGTTTTAAAGCTTTATTTGAAGATATATAAAAAGATCAAGTGAATCGTATCTGGGAAGGACCATATATATTTTTAGTCATATTTATGACAGGCTGAAAAATTAGGGTTTTATGTTGGTTGTTTAGTTTTTTTTTTAATGAGCTGATTTACCCTCTACAAAGTGAAAAGCTCTGTCTAGATTTGAAGAAGTGTAAGAACCCTCGGTGATTTTCCTGAAGGTAAAACAGATTTTGCACATAGAGAAGGAATCCAGCTGGCAGCGTGGTTCAAATTAAATATGTTCAGGAGCATAGGCGACATTGTGAAAGTTACTTTCATGGTCTCATGTATAAAATCAATCATACCATTTAGAACTGCTCATGAAGAGAAACTAAATAGCTACGGTCATGCCAGGTCCAATTTCGATCTTATAAATTGTCTGAAAATATTTAAAAATAAGAGAGAAACTCATGCCAGACTTCTAGTGTTTTATTTGGCAGTCAGATGGTGGTTTGAAGACCTCTGGAGATGATTCGAAGTGCTATATATCAGTAACTTGTTGAAAGGGGACTTTTTGACCAGTTGGAAGAAGAGGTTACTATGGCTGGCCATCAGAGCAGGTTCTGATGGCCCATTTGAAAACAGGGGAGAGGGTGGCATGATCCTCAGGTTCTTATCCAAGACCAATAAGTCCAGATTATTTATACATTTAATGTTCAGTATTTCATTAATGAGTAGCTAACAGGTTTTTGTTGCTATGGCGGCAATTCAGTGCACATTTGGCTGAATATTTCTTAGAGGGTTTGGTACTATTAGACAATTGGTCAAATAGTATTATTCATTTAAAATAAAGCTATAAGTGGGCCTTCCATTAGAATTTGGAATGTTTTTTAGCTGTGTTTACACACACCTATATTTCACATATTCATATAATACACACTCAGGTTTAGTCTAAGATTTTTGTGTACTTCTACCTCGAGTCCATTTTTACATTTTATGTTTTTCTACAAAAATAATTTCTTCACTATTTATTGATGCTTTTGTTCACTTAACACATACTTTCTGGATCCTTACTCTGGGTCAGGCACTGGGAATACAGGATGAGCTCACCCTCCTTGGATGGTGTCACTGCCCGGCTTTCCAGGTGGCCCACTCTCGGCTTCTCTTCCTCCTCACTGCCCATGCAGCTGGCCCTCAGTCCACTACAGTGGCTCTCCACCCCCCAGCTAACCAATCAGTGGTGGAATGTCCAGATTTCTGTCCTAGGTACCTTTCTCTTCTTACACACATGCTGCTAAGTGGCATATGCTGAAGACTCCCAGATTGGTAGCTTTCATGCCAACCTCTCTTCGGTGCTCCTGACTCATCTGTCTGCTGCCTTTGTCACCTCCATTCTGAAGGGCCAAACCCAACAAGACCCGAAAAGCACCTTGATTTACTCCTTCTCAAGAGTGCCCCTTCTTGCCTACCACAGTGACAGGGTTGGGTCTCCTACCCAAGAACATGCTGTGTCTTTCTATTTGTTCAAGCTTGCTTTGTGGTCTTTTAGGAGTGTTTTCAAGTTTCCTCGTGTAGGTTTTGCATGTTTCTTTTTTTTTTAACTTTTTTTATTGATTATGCCATTACATTTGTTCCATTCCCCCCCTCCGTTCCCCTCCACCCTGCATATCCCTCCCCCACCATTCCCCCCCTTTAGTTCATGAACACGTGTCTCAAATTCTTTAGATTCTGTATTTCCCCTACTATTCTTACCCTCCCCCTATCTATTGTCTATCTACTGTCTGTGCTACTTATTTTCTGTACCTTCTTCCCCCTTCTCCTTCTCCCACTCCCCTGTTGCTAACCCTCCAAGTGATCTTCATTTCTATGGTTCACTCTTGATCTAGCTGTCCTCTTAATTTGCTTTTGTTTTAGGTGTGGTTGTTGATAACTGTGAGTTTGCTGTCCTTTCACTGTTCAACTTTTTTATCTTCTTTTTCTTAGGTAAGTTCCTTTAACATTTCATATAATAAGGGCTTGGTGATGATGAACTCCTTGAATTTGGTCTTATCTGAGAAGCACTTTATCTGTCCTTCCATTCTAAATGAAAACTTTGCTGGATAGAGCAATCTTGGTTGTAGGTCTTTGGATTTCATTACTTGGAATACCTCTTTCCAGTCCCTTCTTGCCTGTAAGGTCTCTTTTGAGAAATCTGCTGACAGTCTGATGGGAACTCTTTGTAGGTGACTGTCCCCTTATCTCTTGATGCTGCTAGGATTCTCTGCTCTATTTTAATCTTGGCTAATGTAATGATGATGTGCCTTGGTGTGTTTCTTCTTGGGTCCAACTTCTTTGGGACTCTCTGAGCTTCCTGGATTTCCTGAAAGTCTATTTCCTTTGCCAGAATGGGGAAGTTCTCCTTTATTATTTGTTCAAATAAGGTTTCCACTCGTGGCTGCTCCTCTTCCCCTTCTGGTACCCCTATAATTTGAATGTTGGAACGTTTAAAGATGTCCTGGAGGATCCTAAGTCTCTCCTCATTTTTTTGAATTCTCGTTTCTTCATTCTTTTCTGTCTGGTCATTTTTTCCTTCCTTCTGGTCTACTCCCTTGATTTGAGTCCCAGTCTCCTTTCCATTACTATTGGTTTTCTGTGCATTACCATTCATTTCAATTAGTTTAGCTTTCATATGTTTCTCTAATTTGTGACTAAAATCAACCAGTTCTGTGAGGATCCTGATCACCAGTGTTTTGAACTGTGCATCTGAAAGTTTGGCTATTTCTTCATCGCTTAGATTTATTGGCTCTGGGGCTCTGAGTTGTTCTTGAGCCATTTTTGGTCTGGTTGAGCTGTTAAGTATGAGGAGCGGAGCCTTAGTTATTTACCAGGGCGGGGCCACCCAGGTCGCTGGTTTGTGACGCCGTATGTGGGGGCGGGGTCAGAGAGGGAGCAATGGCGGTCCTCTCCGCTAGCCGAGTGCATCCCACCACTCCACTGGGCCTGTTTATCCGATTGGAATTGTGTGAGCCTGCTGGCCTGTGCCCTGCGGTCTCAATGCTCGCCTCTTCACTGGTTTATCTGCACGCAGATGCTCGACCGACCGCAGACAGCCAGCCGCCCTCTTCCCTGTGTCCTCCCGTAGCTAGCCCGCACCTGGGATCCGTGCCTTCGGCTGCTTGCGCACCACCAGGTCAGGGATCTTTTTGGTCAACCCGCTGCACTGCTGGCTTCGCCCCTCTTACCAGTTAAGCTGAGCATTTCGGTTTTTTTTTGGACTCCATATTGTCGATTTTCTGTGTGGTTTGGTTGCGTTTATTGTTGTTAAAAGTAGTTGTTCTTAGATTTGGTTGTGCGCGGACGCAAGGTGTTTCCACCTACGCCTCCATCTTGGCGGAAGTCCCCTGCATGTTTCTTATTAAACAGATTCTTGGTTATTTTACATTTTGTTACTGTGGGTTTTCCTCTATAGTATAGCTAATTGTCTGTAATGTTATTGTCTGCATATATGAAAATTATTGATTTACATATGCTCGTTTTATATATTACTACTTGATGAAATTTAATTTTTGTTAATATTTTTAACTACCATATTGTAAAGTTAGAGTACATGTCTTCTCTCTTT